GGCTGGCAGGCTTGGAGCTGGCACAGGCACTGTGGCCAGGGTCTACCCCTTTAATGGCTCCAGGGCTGGGGGAGAGGAGAGAAAGTTTTCCTGGTTGTGCCCAGAGTGGCCACCAGGGCTCCCTGAGAAGGGCTGGAGACCCCCTATTTCGAATTAAGTGTCTACACAGCACTTAATTTGAAATAGCTATTTCGAATTTGGCATAACTCCTCATGGAATGAGGTTTACCAAATTCGAAATAAGTGCTCCACTATTTCGAATTTATTTCAAAATAACAGTTTGGCTGTGTAGACACTATTAAAGTTAATTTGAAATACCTGCTGTTATTTCGAATTAACTTTGTAGTGTAGACATACCCTTAGAGAGATCTAAGGAGAACCCTTTTCTTGTGAAATACTTCACATGGGGGATCTGACATAAAACGCTCAATTTCCCCATCCTTCCTATGTGAGTAACATCAGTGAAAAATCATTTTCCTAGCAGCCAGCCATTAGACAGGAAGCAGAATACTAAATACTCAGAGGGGACACATCAATCCTGCCAGTACCATATTAAGTGCCATATTAAGACAGGGGGACAGGGTTTTCAAACCACAGGGAAAAACATGCAGGAGAATCTTCATTAACTGCCACCGGAGGGTGTGAACAGAGGCGACCAATTAGGAGATATACGAAGCCCACAAACCATGCGACCCCCGCACCATTCCAGGGGAGGGCCAGGACAAAGCTCCCTCCACCTTAGGCCCTGTCCCTCCTCTGTCCCCTCTTTGCCCTTGTCTCTTCTTGCAACTGATGTGACTGTGGTGTCTGGCACCACAGTGAGGGGGCCATCCCCATATACACTCTCCGGCAGTAGTGGGGCGGGGGAGGTGGAGGGGGGGAAGGGGAAGAGAAGCAACAAGGCCCCAGCTTGCTCTGCTTCCCCCACCGCTGCCAGTGAGTGCATTGTGTGGAAGGAACTCCTACTGTGGGTACCAGGCTCTCCCGCTCATCTCCTAAGCTGCCCAGAGACTCTGGCCAGGCCGGCTCCTGCCCGGCCCCTTGCTCATTCTGCCCATGACATTGTGGACATGTGCGCCCCCTCAAACATCATCCCTGGATAGGGAAAACGTGTCCACAGATAAGGGATCAATTTGCAGATATTACTACAGGTTGAACCTCTCTTAACCAGGACTCTCTGGTCTGGTAACATCCCTAGTCTGGAAGGACCACGATGTTCAGGACCAGTGAGTCCGGTGGAGGGCTAATGGCTGGTGAGGCCATGAGGCAGAGGTGCTGCTCAGCGAGGTTGTAGCCCAAGCAGGGTTGCTGCTTGGTGGCACAGCTGAACCCCAGCATGGCAGCTGCCTCGGGGGGCTGGGAGCCCAGCAGTGGGGCTGTGCACCTTGGACCCAGGAGCCGTGTGCAGAGGTGCCAGCGGCAGGGTGTGGGGAGGCAATTGGGAGGTTAGTAGCCAAGCTATGGCTGAGGGAACCAGGAGGGGGGCAGAAACAACCTTCCCTGATCTGGCCAAGTCCCTCATCTAGAACCAGTCAGGTCCCCAGAGTGCCAGACCAGGAAGGTTCAATCTGGTACAGACTGTACTTTCCATTAGCTCAGTTTGAGCCAGATTGCTTCAGGGTTAGCAGCTAGTTCAGAATAGCTAAGGACTAGTGCCAAGAAGCCCATACAGAACACTTCTTTCATTAAGCTGTATACTTATATCTGGTCAAAGATTTCCTGCTCTGGACAGAACAGTCCGAACCTGAGCAGTACAGTTTCTCTCATCAGAAGCTAGGAACACACAGTCATAGGGTACACTGGTCCTGGTAGCTTTGATGTGCCCTCCTTCTCATCTCTCCCTACCTGCCCAGATCACACGGGACCCTCTGAAATATTTAGCTCTGTTTCTGAAAGCCAGCATTCACCACTGTATCCAGAGCTAGGTCTCTCACTGAAGAGACATTTAGCTTCCTCAGTAAGTGGAGGTTGAAAGTGGAGAAAAATAACACACTCCTGTGCAGGAGCATTAAATCCTAGCACCAATGCTGTTGTCATCCTAATGAGTCAGTGAACATACTTTCACTTGCCTCAGAAGATTAATTCAGTTTCTTCCAGAAACTGATAAAACAGATGGCTGATCTCCAGTACGTCCCTCTAGAGACTGTAGAATAGACTCATAGAAGCGTAGGACTAGAAGGGATCTCATTTGGTAATAGAGTCCAGTTCCCTCTCCTGAGGCAGGACTAAGTATTGTCCAAAAGTTTACTTGATATAACTTAAGGGAAGTTGGCTGTGCCAGTTAGTGACTGTCTACTGTAACGTGCCAGATGGATGTGACACACACCAGCATCAGGATACTAACTTTAAGAAAGCAGATAGAAGATAACAGGGCTCTGAATATTTTGATTAGCACCCCATACATGGCACCAGTAGGAGGCCCAACCAGTGTGTGGGGCAAGGGTGGGCAAAAATCCAGCTCATGAACCAAAGCCAGCCCACTAAACTGGTATATTTGGCCCACCACCACCCCACAGGCCAGTGGCTCCCTACCTTCTGCATCCCTGCACTCTGCTCAAAGCAGCAGGCTACAGGGACCATATGCTTTGCACACGGCATGACTCTAGACCAAGGGAGTACTTAGTGCACCGCCCCCACCTTTAGCAATCTTGCAGCTCCCACTGGCCATTGCAGCTGTCTGGGTTTTTCCACGTTCAGCATTCTCAGAAACATGTCAAGTGGACAGCTGCACCTGCAGCACAGGCAATACATCAAGTACATGGCCCCTGCAGCAGGCTACTCTGAGCAGCTTGCGGGAGCGTGGAAAACAGGAAGCCTGCCTGAGTCCCACTGAGCTGCTGGCCGGAAGCCTCCTAGGTAAGCACATCCCAGCCAGAGCTTGCCTCTGATGCTCCAGCACCTCCCACCATCCAACCCTCTGCTCCTCTCCTAAACGCCTGACCCAGGTCACAACCCAAACCTTCTGCATCCCTTGCTTCTGCACTCATACCCCCTCCCACAGCACCAAGCCCCTGCACTCCTGCCCCAGGTCAGAATCTTCTGCTGCACCTGTACCACCTCCAAGACCCTGCACCCTCTCCTCCATTAAGACCATAAAAGAGTGTGGCCCTTAACCCCTTACCAAATTCTTAGAGTGCCCCCCCTGTAGCCAGACACAAAACCCCATCTTGTTTTTCCACGAGCCCCATCTTGTTTTACCCCCCCCCAGAGAGCAAGAGAAAGGCAGTCAGCCTTTGATGCCCTGGGAACACAGGTTTGCTACCTGTCCCTGACTCTACCATAAACAGAAACCAGACAGTAAATGGGCTAGCTGATGACCCGGGGCCTCCCGTCGCCCTGATGGCTAGTACCAGTAATTGACACGCCTGCACTGTCCCAGAGAGGAATCTTCGCCCATCACATACTAGAGGTGCCCATTGTCTGCATTTTCCCAGGTGTAAATTATGCTTTGCACCCTTCGTGGGAAACTTGGCATTCAAAGCCATTTTTCCTTAATGGCCACTTGAGCCCAGGAAGAAGCCTACATGACCCAAGGGGTATAAAAGAGGTTCA